CATGTGCTCTCTCTCATTCTCTCTCTCTCAAATAAATAAATAAAATCTTTAAAAAAAAAACAAAAAAAAAAACAGTATTTCTGTACAGCTCCAGATGGGCCTCTCATAAACCACTCACTCCCAGAAACACAATGCAAACTGCATTCCAGCCCTGGCTCTTCCTGGAACCTGGACATCTTTCCGGAAATGCTGCTTTCATTGAAAACAAGCCAAAAAAATAATAATAAAAGAATAAATGCCAACAAACACTGCAACACCCCATCCACTTTCAGCCTTCACTCACTGTCTTTAAAAGTTTACTGCCTGTAAAATTCACCATAATTTGGTGATAAAGTTCTTTGCTCAATGCTACACCCTTTGTCAAGACCACAGTCTAGCTCTTGGCAGGTGTTACCAAAATCCTGCTTCCTCTGACCTCACAAAAGAGACAGAACATGAATAATTCATAAATGCAATGTGCATATGAATTATTTCCAACCTGTACGTGATGAACTGTAATACACGAGGACAAAATGGGAATGTGCTTTTTGGAAAAATACTACGGGATGCTTTCTGAATGGATGAAAAAGAGTGATCTCTTCCAAACTTGGCTTCACAGTTAATCAAAAAAGTAATTAGTAAACTATCAGAATTAGGAAAAGAAAGGGCCTTCTCTGTGGGAAAACAAAATCTCAATAAAGAAAGAAACCCTAAGCAAAAGTAATATGATTAGTTCTGAGTTTTGAGGATATAGCCACTAGTGGGTTAGGGTCATAAAATATGGGTTATTTAAATTACAGGGAAAAAAAATGAGCTCTAATTTAAAATAAATGAGATAACAAGCCATTACTATGTACCATTCAATGTTTAAACACTTTACACATACATTATTAAGTATCTGAGAAGCAAAGTAAACAAGAACGAAAGTTGTAGATAGAAGAGAAAGCATTTATACAGGAAATTTAAGATACAAGACAGTATGGGGTTTAGAGGAAATTCTGGAGAGCAGAGAGAAAAGAAATGAGACAGGTAGAATAGGAGGACCACATTATAATAGTCAATGAAAGGAGACTTTAATTTTAATTTCATTTCTTAATAAGTAGCAACTTTGCCAAGCTAGTGAAAGATAAATCGGATGCTTCAGGTAAGAAAATAAAAATCATTTAGGGATTAGATCAAGCCAGGAAAGAGAGAACACACAGTTCTGGTTTTGAGTGGGATCAGTGAGAAATGAGAAAACAAAGAGACGTGAAAGCTGGTTTTGAAAGGTAAGCGACCCCGGAGTATAAGGACACTAGCAATAGGGGATAATGGGTTTAGTGCACTGATCCCAGAGCTGCCATGTAAGATGGTAATAGGACGCTAGGATATTCCTTACTGGATTCCTGAGAAACCAGGCTCTCCGGTTTTCATAGTACTCAAGACTGTTCCTCAAGCTCCTCTTGTGATGAGATTTAATAGATTTTCAGGCCTCGTAAAAGAAGAATTGTTCCAGGACCACTGATCTCATGTACAAACCACCACTTTCTAGGAGTCTGCAAACTATGACTGCTGAGCAAAGGTCCTTGAACTACAACTGTTTTTTACATTTTTAGAGGGAAAAGACAGAAGAGGCAGTAGGGAGGAGTGAGAGGGAAGAAGAAAGAGGGGAGGAGAGGGAAAAGGAGAACCAGGCAAGAAGAGGAGGAGGAAGTGGAGGAGGAGGGATCACACCCAGACCGCATGTGACCCACCAGACCTAAAATATGTGCTACTGTCTTTATATAAAAGTCCACCAACCTCCGACCTGGAAGCTCTCAGCCAACCTTGTGCCTTTACCACCACCCACAGCTGACGCCTCGCACACGGGCCCTACTGGCTCTGGCCTCAGCCACGAACCAACATCCTTTTCAACACACAGCCTGGGCTCTAGCAGTTCTCTCCAGCTTCTCGTGTCCAAGTTTAGGTATGTTGTAAGTCCCCTATCATCTAATTTCCTCTCAGTAAATGGCACCCTGATTTACCCAGTTGCTTAAGACAAATCAGTCAAGTCATACTAGACTCCTGGCTCTCTTCCACACTATCAATCCAACAGCAAATCTTGTTGGCCTCATCCTCAAGATCTACATACAAACCTACCACTCCTCAGCACTTCCAACATCGCCTAAGGATTATCCTCTCTCCTCTGGAGTATATAATAGTCTCCTAAGTGGTATTCCTTCCTTGCTCGTGCCTAAGCACCACCTAACCACCAGATTGTATTTAGTGCATAAACTATAAATCAGATCTGATTATTTAATCTGACTTAATTTACTCAAAAAAAAAATACAATGATTTCTCACATCACTCAAAATAAAATTACCATGGTCCATGCTACTTATGACATCACCTCCTATCACTCTCCCCAACACATATTCACCTCCAGCCACAATGGCCTCCTTGCCATTCTTCAAACACTCTAAGAACACCGCTGAGAAGTTTGGCATCTGCCTGGAACAGCTCACAGTTTCACTTTACTAGGGTCTCATCCCTCCTTTGGACCTCATCAAACAGGCTTTCTCTGACTTCCTTACCCATTAGCACAGGCCATTATTCTCCACCCCGTCCCCACTGTTTTAACTCTCTCCACAGTGCTTACCACCACAAATACTGTATGTACATGTTCACGTGCATATGCTTGGGCATGTGCACACACACACATACTTCTTGTCCCTCACTGTAATACACACTCCATGAAAAAGGGATATTATTCTTTTACCTAAAAACGTAACTGGATCATAGTGGGTACCCAACACATATTTGTTAAATGAATATGTTAAGTATTGCATGAATACACACCAGGTAACAAAAGGTGTCCGAAGAGAATAGAGGGAAGGTGAACAATTTTAAAAGATAAGCTAACCAAGAAAAATCACCTAAGATGAAGCCAACTGAGTTTGCATTATAGGTATTAGTAAATCACTCTAAAATATCATAGGACAAAGGAAAGCATTTATGAGGGGAAAGTGACATGTGGAGGAATGTGATTAAGGTAATGGAGGGAGATGTGAGCCAACTGTCCTTTGTCACTTCCAAAGGTCTAAAGTTTAAAAAAGAAATTTCTGAAGAATATTTCACAAGTGATAAACCCTAAACCAAAGGCCTAAGATCTCATTCCCTTGTTTTCCACCTGCCTGTGAACTCACTAACTCACCTTGATGGCAGTGGCTTGGGAATCCTGCCTCTAATATCCAGGGCTCTTCTCCTTGCTCTATCTTGAAGACCACTTCTGGCTTAGTAATGCAATATCCTGTTGAGAAAAAATAATACAAGATGATAGCTAAATAGCCTGGCTTCAGGGACTCTGAAAAATGATGGGGAAGAAAGGTACAGCCTCAGGAGCTGCCCAAGGGAGATGCCCAAATGAACCAACTCCTGAGGAGGTTAAGAACACAGCATTCTGTATGGTGGCCAGAGAGACTGGTCATCTCAGGGCCTTGAATCTCAAGCATCAATCAAAATTCCACAGGCAGTTCCTGTTTCAACAACTAGAAATGCATGCTAAGGGTAGTCACCAGGAAAAACAATTCTTACCTACTGAGACAAAATGGCTGTAGTTTTCTAGAATCACATCTCTGTATAGTATCTTCTGAGCAGGATCCAGCAGATACCACTCTTCCTGAGTGAAGTCCACACATACATCTTTGAATGACACTTGTTCCTGTAATGGTATATTCCTTTTCTATATGAAGCCGTCAGAACTATATGACATGGAAGAAATTTAAAAGGGCTAATCTCTTTAGAGTTTGCTAAAAACTGACAGATAGGATGCCTTCTTTTGTGTTACTTACTCTGTAGGATAAAAGAAATATCTCGTACAAACCGAGTTTCCACTAAAGGCTTAGAACTGTTCCCCTTGCTGCAAACACTACTGATGAAAACAAACACACACCATTCCTGTTCTCAAAGTGCTTATGATCTGATGAGGAGACATATACATTAACATTTATTAAGTTTTTTTTTTTTTTTAAGATTTTATTTATTTATTTGAGAGAGAATGAGATAGAGAGAAAGAGCATGAGAGGGGGGAGGGT